AAACCAAATATAGGTGTTCCATCTGATCAGTCAGCTTTCCCCTTGTTCTCTGCAAGGTACCTTTGTTACTCTTTTGAGCCTAGTTAGGGAGAAAGCACACATGCCTACATGCTACTCCTCTTGGAGCACTCTGGCCATTGCTCCCATCCCGTGGGAAGCATAGTACCTGAAGGGATGCCCTGCTCCTCTTGTGACTTTTTGGCAGGAGGGAATCTGAGCACTTCTGTTCCTTCAGCTACTTCTCTCCTTCTGTAGGAGCACCAGTTCAGCTATGCCAGTATATTAGAATAAGTGTCCATATTGAATGTGTCTGACTTGAACTCGGTGTGCGTGTTATAGAAGAGCCATAACATGGTTTATGCAAGACACTTCCTAGAACAGGAGTAATGATGCTTCTTCAGAAAGCCTATTCAGTCTGAGGATTTCTTGTATTTTTCTTACCTGGTAATAAAAAATTTTCAGTGACTTTTATACACGGCTGCAGCTAAAGAGAGGCCCTTTCACACTAAGAATAACATTTAATTTTTTGCATTTGTCCTGGCAAAGGCCATTATTCTTGAGATGCTTCCCAGCAAAGCTAATTTTCTTTCAGAATTGTATCTGGCACAGAACACACTACTTTCATCTTAAGTAATGTGATGTCATAATATAGCGATAAGAAGTTTTTCTTATACTGGGAGGAAGCTAAACCTCCAGCTTTCAGGAAAAGGGAGAGGAAAAAGACATAGGAGGCTTGAAAATTCAAGCTAAGCTGATGAAAACTAGAATTTTAGCAACAGAGTCCAGCTGGAAAAGGCCAGTGCCCTTACTCTTAACATGCGTTCCAGCTGGGCACTCACCCACAAGAGCAGAAAATTGCAGTTCTGTGCTACTTGCTAAAAAAGTAAGCTAGTACATCTAGTTCTAGCCCAAGACCAGGGTTACTAGGTTCTCCTGTAGTACAGTAGTAAAATACTGTACTGATAATTGCTCCATGTTGTCCGAAACGCCAGAACTAATTAAGTCTAATAAAAGCTGAGGTTTAAACTAACTTTCAGTGGGAAATTATGCATAAGAAACGTGCAGCTTTCATTCTTAAAAGGAAAGCATCTCTGGTCAGGCGCAATTATTTTATTTGGCCAGCATTAGTTAGGACAGCATGCTTACTTAAAACCTCACCTTTATAATCCCATCACAGTGTGCTGAGGCGATTGCTGTAGAAACTTTTACCAGTTTTGTAGCTGACAAGTGGATCTTAAAGTGTCTGTGGAAGTGAGAGTAAAGGCAGTCCATAAAGAGATCCACCTCTTCTTGAGTGATCTCTCCTGGAGTTTTCTGTACTGTGTCCCATAGAGCTTTTGCATCTTCTGGGTGAATGGCATAGGAAATATCCAGAGGCTGGGGAAGACAGGGAACAGAGAAAACGAGTTCTGTTGCAGATGCATTTTTTTCCACTTTGCATCCAGTCCACATGGCTGCCATCCAAGTGAGATTGAGAGGGCTGATTGCTAAACGGCGGAAGCGGCAGTCAAAAGTCTTCTGAAACCAGCTTCCAACAATGGCCGCGTAACTCTCTGCCCCGTTAGCAAGAAACAAAGGTAAACAAGTGAAGTCCTCAGGGATGTTCTCCGAAAGATCATCTCCAGACACACAACAGAACCAGCCTGACCACATCAGCTTCTCTTCTGAATTTTTGGAGGAAACTGATCTTGAAGAAAGCTGGGATGGGGAAAAGAAGTAGTGTTTGAATGATAGCATAGAGCAAACATGATATCTTATATAGTAGATCTAAAAGAAGTTTTTTCCCCAGGACCTCACATGCAAAGTTGTTTCCTGGAAAGCTCAGACAGTTATTCACTCTATGCATTACATCCCTAAAGGATCTCAGTACTTTGGTTCAAAACAGTGGGTAAAGTACTTTTTACTCCATTAGGAACCGTCCTCAAATCTGTGTTTATGCTGCTTAATTCAGAAAAGACAATCCAGGATAAGACTTAAAACCACTGCCGTTCGGAACTTTGCGTTTCAGTAGCATCTTTCACTTGAGGCAAAGCATTTCAGAAATACTAATTAGACTTGAGCTAGAGCAGGGAGGCAGGATTATACCAACTTTAAGAAGTTAAATAACTCACCCAAGAAGTTAAATAACCTGTCCAAGATCTTACAGTGAATTGACTGCAGAGCTAAAAAGTTGGAGCTCGGGAGTGCTGACTCTCGTATTCTTCATCTTAGCAAGGATTTGAACTCAAAACTCCAGTTGAGCATATCCATTATTTATGAGCTATTCCATGTGAGTTAAAAATAGACAGGACCCACTTTCATTAAGTCTCAGAAGATACTAGGGTAGTTTTTGCATACAGCTGGGGTTTAAAAAATCTCTTGCAAGAGACAAGGTAGTTTATGACAGCAAAAGCAACCGATAAGACCCACATCTCAGTGTGATTATCAGCACCGCTAGCAAGAGTCCTCACCTGCACGTGCATCGCAGCGTGGTCTTGATCGCTGCCTCTCAGGTCGGGGAGGCTGGAGAACGTCACCCTGATGTCCAAGTCCACCCCTACTTCCACGGCGAAGCCCTTCTGCTTCTCAGCAGCGATGAAGGCGCCGAGCAGCCTGGCGTACTCCTTCAGGTTAGCGCTCGAGAACTTGTACAGGGGGGTCACGCTGTATAGGGTCCACTGCTTGCGCAGGAGGAACGCCGTTTTCTGGGGATCTGCGTTTTCCTTTAAACAAAAAAAATACATATACACATATGTAAATAAGAAGATAGCGGGGTTATTTCCCGGGGTTATTTCCTCCTGCCGGCCCCGCACGTCGC